AACACAGGTCACGTGGTACAACAGTGGCTGAGCCTGATACACACGTAGATGATGACCAACACAAGTCACGAAATACAACAGTAGCTGAGCCTAATACACACATATTTGATGATGACCAACACAAGTCACTTGATACAACAGTAGCTGAGCCTGACACACACGTAGATGATGATGACCAACACAAGTCACGTGGTACAACATTGGCTGAGCATGATACACACGTAGATGATGATGACCAACACAAGTCACGTGATACGACAGTAGCTGAGCCTGACACACACGTATATGATGATGACCAACACAAGTCACGTGATACAACAGTAGCTGAGCCTGATACACACATAGATGATGATGACCAACACAAGTCACATGATACAACAGTAGCTGAGCCTGACGCACACGTAGATGATGACAATCAACACAAGTCACGTGATGCAACAGTAGCTGAGCCTGATACACACGTAGATGATGATGAACACAAGTCACGTGGTACAATAGTTGCTGAGCCAGATACACACGTAAATGATGATGACCAACACAAGTCACGTCATGCAGCGGTAGCTGAGCGTGATAAACACGTAGATGATGACCAACACAAGTCACGTGATGCAACAGTAGCTGAGCCTGACACACACGTAGATGATGACGACCAACACAAGTCACGTGGTACAACAGTGGCTGAGCCTGATACACCTGTAGATGATGATGACCAACACAAATCACGTGATACAACAGTAGCTGAGCCTGATACACACGTAGATGGTTATGACCAACACAAGTCATGTGATACAACAGTAGCTGAGCCTGATACACCTGTAGATGATGATGACCAACACAAATCACGTGATACAACAGTAGCTGAGCCTGATACAGACATAGATGGTTATGAGCAACACAAGTCACGTGATACAACAGCAGCTGAGCCTGGTACACACGTTGATGATGATTACCAACACAAGTCACGTCATGCAACAGTAGCTGAGCCTGATACACACGTAGATGATGATGAACACAAGTCACATGCTACAACAGCAGCTGAGCCTGATCCACACGTAGATGATGACCAACACAAGTCACGTGATACAACAGTAGCTGAGCCTGATAAACACGTAGATGATGATGACCAACACAAGTCACGTGATGCAACAGTAGCCGAGCCTGATACACACGTAGATGATTATGACCAACATAAGTCACGTGATACAACAGTTGCTGAGCCTTATACACACATAGATGATGATGAACACAAGTCACGTGGTACAACAGTAACTGAGCCTGATACACACGTAGATGATGACCAACACAAGTCATGTGATACAACAGTAGCTGAGCCTGATACACACGTAGATGATGATGACCAACACAAGTCACGTCATGCAGCAGTAGCTGAGCCTGATGCACACGTAGATGATGATGACCAACACAAGTCACGTGATACAACAGTAGCTGAGCCTGACACACGTGTAGATGATGATGACCAACACAAGTCACGTGATACAACAGTAGCTGAGCCTGATACACACGCAGATGATGATGACCAGCTCAACTCACGTGATTCAATAGTAGCTGAGCCTGATACACACGTAGACGATGATGACCAACACAAGTCACGTGATACAACAGTAGCTGAGCCTGATACACACGTATATGATGATCCACACAAATCACGTGATACTACAGTAACTGAGCGTGATACACACGTAGTTGATGACCAACACAAGTCACGAGATACAACAGTAGCTGAGCCTGATACACACATAGATGATTATGACCAACACAAGTCACGTGATACAACAGTAGGTGAGCCTGATACACCCGTAGATGATTATGACCAACATAAGTCACGTGATACAACAGCAGCTGAGCCTGGTACACACGTTGGTGATGATTACCAACACAAGTCACGTCATGCAACAGTAGCTGAGCCTGATACACACGTAGATGATGATGACCAACACAAGTCACGTGATGCAACAGTAGCTGAGCCTTATACACACATAGATGATGATGGTCAATACATGTCACGCGATACAACAGTAGCTGAGCCTGATGCACTTGTAGATGATGATGACCAACACAAGTCACGTGATACAACAATAGCTGAACCTGATACACACGGAGATAATGATGACCAACACAAGTCACGTGATACAACGGTAGCTGAGCCTGAAACACACGTAGATGATGGTGACCAACACAAGTCTCGTGATACAACAGTAGCTGAGCGTGATACACACGTAGATGATGATCCACACAAATCAAGTGATACTACAGTAACTGAGCGTGATACACACGTAGTTGATGACCAACACAAGTCACGAGATACAACAGTAGCTGAGCCTGATACACACATAGATGATTATGACCAACACAAGTCACGTGATACAACAGTAGGTGAGCCTGATACACACATAGATGATGATGACCAACACAAGTCACGTGATAGAACAGTAGCTGAGTCTGATACACACGTAGATGATGATGACCAACACAAGTCAGGTGATGCAACAGTAGCTGAGCCTGACACACGAGTAGATGATGATGACCTACACAAGTCATGTGGTACATCAGTGGCTGAGCCTGATACACACGTAGATGATGACCAACACAAGTCACGAAATACAACAGTAGCTGAGCCTAATACACACATATTTGATGATGACCAACACAAGTCACGTGGTACAACATTGGCTGAGCATGACACACATGTAGATGATGATGACCAACACAAGTCACGTGGTACAACATTGGCTGAGCCTGATACACACGTAGATGATGATGACCAACACAAGTCACGTGATACAACAGTAGCTGAGCCTGATACACACGTAGATGATGATAACCAACACAAGTCACGTGGTACAACAGTATCTGAGCCTAATACACATATAGATGATGATGACCAACACAAGTCACGTGATACAACAGTAGCTGAGCCTGACACACGTGTAGATGATGATGACCAACACAAGTCACGTGATACAACAGTAGCTGAGCCTGATACACACGTAGATGATGATGACCAGCTCAAGTCACGTGATACAACAGTAGCTGAGCCTGATACACACGTAGACGATGATGACCAACACAAGTCACGTGATACAACAGTAGCTGAGCCTGATACACACGTAGATGATGATGACCAACACAAGTCACGTGATACAACAGTAGCTGAGCCTGATACACACGTAGATGATGATGACCAACACAAGTCACGTGATACAACAGTAGCTGAGCGTGATACACACATAGATGATGACCAACACAAGTCGCGTCATGCAGCAGTAGCTGAGCCTGATACACACATAGATGATGATGACCAACACAAGTCACGTCATGCAGCAGTAGCTGAGCCTGATACACACATAGATGATGATGACTATTTACTAAAAGCTGAAGTTTTTTTGAAGCCTGATAACCAGGCCATGGGTGAACATGATGTGCCACATGAAGAAGATATTCCAAATAGGCATATCATAACACCTGAAGACATAAATGATGAAGTGGTTGAGGCTTGCCTTCTATCCAAACAGAACATGTCCATATCAAAAGAAGATACTGTTTCGTCAGATAACCAACTAATAAATACAATGCTGGAATGTCAAAATAATGTTACATCAAAACATGACACAGATGAAGTCGGTATGAATGAGAAAGGTGGGGAAAAAACAAACATATTCGATGAGGAAAATGCCCTGGAAAGAGAGGATAAAATTGAAAAATCCAAAACATATTCAGCAGACAACAGGAATCTAGTAGTGGGAATTGAAAACGAAAAGACAAATGTTTCACACGTAGATGAGAATATACAAAAAATTGACACGTTAGCCGGCAGTGCAGTGAAATATACTAGGGAAGACTTGTCAAAATTGGACGTGCTAATGGAAGAGTCTAGTGCATCACAGAGGCATGATTATTCAACAGATCATCCACCAGAAAATAAGCAACTGTTAACAAATGAAGATGTAGACAATAATGAAGATGCAAAATTAGGGGCTGTACCACAAATTGTCGAATCAGACATTGAAGAGATTGAATCAGAAGGAATAAATGGTACAATCGACAAATATGAGGATATGGCAGACACTGAACATACAGCAGTGATAAATGAAGAATTAAAAACCAATGTTTCACTGATAGATGGCAACATACAAAAGGTTGATACTTTAGTCGGCAATATGGAGGAATATTCATGGAAAGAGTTGGAACAACTTGATCATTCTTTAAATGAATCAATTGTGACAAAAGATGTTGCAGTAGATAAGGCGGGTCCTCCAACAGACAGTATTCTACAGAGAGATGAAGCATCCCCGCTAAATATTTCAATCCATAAAGATGATACTCTGAATGAAGCTGTACCACCAGAATCAGAAAAAACACAAATAAACATGTCTCAAGTGAAGAATGAGGTAGAAAAAGATGATAAAGTTGTAACAGATAACAAATATTGGGACACAGCAGATTCTAGGCATCCAGTAGTGGGAATTGAAAATGAAAAGACAAATGTTTCACAGATAGATGAGAATATACAAAAGGTTGATACTTTAGCCTACAGTGCAGTGAAATATACTAGGGAAGACTTGTCAAAATTGGACCTTTTAATGGAAGAGTCTATTGCATCACAGGAGCATGATTATTCAACAGATCATCCACCAGGATATGTTATAAATCGTGAGGATACACAAATAAGAGCTGTACCATCAACTGTTAAACTAGATGTATCAGACATGTTTGAGGAGATTGATGCAGAAGAAATAAAGGACACGACAGAAAAAATCAAGGATATTACAGACACTGAACAGACAGCAGTGAAAAAAACCAATGTTTCACTGATAGATGGCAACATACAAAAGATTGATACTTTAGCAGGCAATATGGTTGAGTATTCCAAGGTCGAATTGGAACAACTTGATCATCCTACAACACATGACTATACACTTGAAGATAATAATCTCCCAGAAGACAATATTGAACCAGGAATTGAGGCATCATTACATGCAATCAATGATAATTGTCATCTGAAAAAATCTGTACCATCAAATGCTGAATTGAATATACCCCACACAGACGGTGGAGAATGTGGTACGACAGAAACACATATGGAACATGCATCAGCTGGAAATGTAGCACACAGTGAAGAGATGACTAAATTGGAACACCAAATAGAAAACCTCATTGAAGTACAGGAATTTGTGACAAATGACAATGATACTCAAACTGATAAACTGATATCTGGAGATAGTAAAGTAGAAAAAGAAAGTGTATTTGATCATGATACCAAAATCGACGCAGTTACAGTAGATGTAGATGATATAGAATCAACAATAGAAGACCAAAAACAAAAGTCAGCTGATAGGACACAACAATTTTACTGTGTGACAGAAAGTGGAACTATAGAGCAGAATGTGTATGAAACACAACTGCCTATAATTGTAATTGAAGACTGGCATGAGAGAAAAGATACAGAAGAGAAACAAGAAAAGTTAACACAAGAATGTCTAGAATTGCATGATAATATGTTGGATGAAAAGATGCCATCTGAAGAAGACATATCTATTCCAGCAGCTAATTATGAAGATCAACCAGTACATATCATTTTAGTTAAAGATACTGCTATCACTGCAGGTGAAGTATCTGGAGAGCAATTAAAATTTGAACCAATAACTTCTGTATCTGCAAAAGGAATAGAAAACAACGGAAAGTCTTCAAAAATTGACAAGGCAGTAGGTGTACCAATTACTAAACCTGCAGATGCAAGTATTGATGGAAATGCTTCAGATGATAAAATAAGCACTGACCGAGAAGTTCAAGTACAAAGTAATACATCAATCAAATCGGACACTTCAGTGTCAAAATCTAAACATAAACTTGATGGTGATTTTAAGGATGGTTTGATACTACAGCAGGATCTATCATTGGAAAAAATATATTATGCTGATGATGTGGTGACTACTTTACCTATTCAATCCAATTTGAAGGATATGGATGGCTTAGAAGAAATACAAAGCACGTCAGAAGGTATCATCATATCAAATGAGAAGACAGCAGACGTGCAGGAGAATTCTAAAGCCGAACCTGTTATTTTGGATTTAAACCAACCAAATGCAACAAAATCAATACAAGATGGAAACAAAGAACTGATAAGTAATAATGTAGGTGCTGATGATGATAAAAAAGACATGTCTGAAAACAGTGTAGAGCCAATGGGACCTATCCAGAGTGTTGACTTATCTAAAAACAATGAAATAGTCCTATATCCACACAAAACAGAAATATTTTATTACAGAGAAAGCAACCCAAAACACCGAAGTCTTAGCATGTTCAGTCTTGCACCTGAAGACTGGGAAGTCATATGTGCTGGGGGAAGCTATGAAGATCAGACAACGAGGAGAATGAGTGACACTATGGCTTTGGATAATGGCGATATATCTGCATTTCAAAAATCGGGTGTTAATACCCCTCTGAAAGCAGCCACAAAGGAAATGATGCCTAGTATGAGTTTAGATGATATGATACACGGTTCGGCTGATCAAGAACATGAATCGAATGCACTAAAGAAGAAGAACAAGAAAAAGAAGAGTAAATCTAAGAGGTCAAAAGAAAAGAGTATTGTAACAGTGGAAGAAGCAAGACTGGTTTCTTGGCAACCAGAAAAAAAGGTATAATATCATTCAGTTCTCTACATTAGCACTAGATTATATATGTGTACAAATACAAGAACATATCTTTAGCTATGAGAGCTTAATAACTCTCCTTTAATCTAACCAATGATACATTGCAGTTATAACGTTATCCATTAATTAGTAATTACTCCTACATTTTGACCAGATTCCCCCCCCCGCTCACCCCTTCTCTGTCAAAATGAATATATATATATCAATTTCATTCATGTGTAATAAAAATATGTCACAATGCATTGTTTCTTCATTTTGTGATTTCCAGAAGCGGCGAGTGTATGAACTTATATGGACTGGTGTAATAAGTCCATATTACATGTTGAGAACACTGAAGACATACCTCACTAAATGGTTCCATCAGGAACAAGTCAAAGTTCACCTTGTCACGCCGTTTATAGATGACCTAGTGTTGAGCGAAATCATCAACTGCATCTGTCAAGCTGACGATGGGGGTACAAGCGAGGGTAGTTTTGGTGAAGTATATACACGTGACATCGGAATGGCTGCTGCAAAGCTCGGATGGGACCAGCGGAAGGTATATGAAGAGAAAATTAAACCTTATGTCTGGTTAAGTCAGCAAGGATACACCTGTTTCAGCTGCAAATTTGCTGCGGGAGAGTACCCAAATGGCAAAGTTGTGCTACTTGTGACGAGTGGCGATTTCACTAGGCAGCATATGAGATCTGAAGAAATGGACTTATTTAATGATCGACAAAGAGACACACTGACTATTATTAAAACAACAAAACAACATTTTGAAGAGAAGTATTTGCGCCCTCTTCGATCAGTTACTAGGAAATCCGATTCTGGCATACAGAAGTAGAAATTGTGAAAGGTTGAGATTATAAAACTAAATGTTCTAAAAAGTTTCAAACTATTTTAATTACGGTCATTCACTCTATTTTGTATTTTGTAGTGTTTTGTTTATTAGTTCAGTTGATTACGGCAAACCTCATTGAATTAAATTCAAACTTTCAAATTATTACGTAAAAATAAAATCTAATTACAAGTTTCTAAGAAGACCAATAAAAATACTTCAAAACTCAAACGTTTTAATTTTTGTTAATATAGTTTTGTTAATACATTTTGAGACAAGTGTATAAACGTATTTGTATTTAGTGATAAGTAGGCGCAGTGTGTGAGCACTGAACCATGGGATGTCTTTACTAGGATGAGTTAAATATCGATTATACTAGTTAAATATCGATTATACTAGTTAATTATCGATTATACTAGTTAACAATTTCTAAACGTTGTTTTATTGTTAATGATTTCAATTAGTTTTGTACTTACACCAACTTTGCATTGACTTTGTTTTTTATCATTATATAATATTTCATAGTATTATATTATATCAGTAATTCTGATTGAGTGGGAGTGTGTTTTTAATTATACAAGAAATGGTTAAATAGAAGCCCCCCCCCCCCCCGTACATGAATGATATTAAAATGTAGTTGAGGTAAATAATCCTGTTCTGATATTTTGCGCTATGGACGTAAAGCGTAATGAAATAATGGCGACTTTTAGATGTTCGGGGTTCAAAGCACAAGCATGTGTAAATTACTGTTTTGTTAAAACCAATGGTTGTCGTAGGCAGTGGCTTATTCGTCGGTCGTGCGTTTCGTAACCTTCAAAGCGTAATCGCGCGTATAACACTAAGAGTCTGTATTTTCTAATGCTACGCCGATTGAAACTATTTTACACAATCGGAGATTGTAAGCCAACACTTGATGAATGAACAGTATGATAGACCCAGAGTTCATTAAATTTAGCTACGGGTACAAGTGAATTTATACATTGTTTTTGGTGATTTGAAATTATTTCCATGTTTAAAAATTATATTAAAAATAAAGTTGTTGTAAATAATAGCAGGAAAATGTCGCCATAGTCTGGTATACAAGTCGCAATATCTCGCAATATACACGACTGCGGTGATTGTTCATTCTTAGATTTAACCACAGCTTGAATAAGTAAAGACAATAAGCTTTCGCTCTGTCAGAAGGACGTATTACATTACTAATATAACACATTATATATTGTAACAAATGAGCATGTCGTCAACAAATGATTGACGATGCATTAACTTTATACAAATCTTGAATCATTAGTATACTTGATGTATAATCAGAATGTTGTCACAATTGTTGTTCACAAGCGGCCAATTTAAATAAATATAAACACATATACTTTGATTTGGAATAAACATTTATATTATTACGTTTTATATCAAATACGAGCAAAACAATTATAAGATGAGACTGCATATTAATTTCAGTTTACAAATGGTAATATTATAGTTGTACAAACTTTGTGTTTCTAAGAAAATTGTAATAATAGATTTGAAAACTGCTTTTATTTTCAATAATATCTTAAAATAATTATGCTACAGAGCATATGATTTAAGAAAGTTATGTAGTTTCTTACAAGGTATTTTTGATGTCTCGAAGTAATAACAACTTATTTTAGTGGGTTTTAACGGAAAATTGTATTTTTATTATGGTCTATAAAAATGTCATTTTATGCACATAATTTACATATAATTTACAGCCTGACATTCAACCAACACATTCCGCATAATCTTGACTATTACTAAAAAGATTTATTGCAAACCGATTTTGACAACAGGAAGTGTGTCTATTACATACGTTATAATATCTACGTTAAGTTAACTATATTGACTTTCAACATACATACATCATACATACATGTCAGATTTTTAAAAAAACTGAAAGAACATTTCAATTATCATTTAAATATAATTATTACCCCCAGGTGATCTGTCGTACTTCGTGATTTGTTTTGTTTTTCTCGCGTTAATTACCTTAGTTACCATTGTATTGAAATCACAATCTTTACTGTTTGATTAGCGGTACCATTTGTGAGGGAGGTTTGGATGAAAATTACTTAGTTAGAGATCACTTCATCAGTGTTAGTGTCTTTCAACGTTTTTCTCTGGTGTCTAATTTTTATTATTTTGTACTCATCAAAAAATTGTGCTTTAATTCTTTGAAAATAAAAACAATTATCATGTATAAATGTAATTCTATGCTGTACTATCAAGATGATATTGACATTGGTGATGAGCGTTAGGATGAAGTGTCCACAGAACCATGACCATAGCAACCAGTTAAAAACACCGGTTTTCATTGGTCGTGTGACCTCAATTAATTTGCATACATGTAATTCTTAATAGATAACCAAATAGACGTGAATAACCTCGAGGTACGTTTATGGATGAGATTGTCAATATCCGCATCCATAGCAACCAGCTCAAAGCATTTATATATCTTTAAATCTTTACCTCCACATATAGGTAATCGACGAAATGTTTACATATTACGTGACAACGTGACAAATCTGAACACTGCCCTCTTTCAGCAACACTAACACTGTAGTTACAGTAGAAACGATGACAGGTATTCCAATCCTGACTCGCAAGCGGTTCAAATTTTAATGTCAATATCTTCTACATCAAACATCATTACAGTTCTAATGTTGGCGATATACATCATGCAGTGAGTTTCTAAACTCGATAACTCACGGAAGCTTTATAACACGATAAACTATTTCCACTTGTCATATGTGCCAAGGCTGCGCTGCTTATTACAACGACAAAGTGAAGTGCGTTGTGACCTTTGACCTGTAGTTATTATGCTAGGCAACAGACTTGGCATTCATTGCCAGACATCGATGAACACAAACGTATCTAAGTTAATCTGCGTTAATCATATTTCAAATACGTACATTTTGTTTTTTCCATATTTGAATAGAAGAATCCATCGAACCAAAACGGTAAGCGCATTTGTTCTATATTATATTGATTATCAACACTTGCATATTATCTACGGCATGATTTGAAGATTTTTAAGTTTTCTGTTTTCATCGGACTTTTGATATCCTGACAGCTGTGTCTTAAGAAGAAAATAAATAATTATCATTGGTAGAATGGAATGCCATTTATTAAGAAAAAAGTATAATAAATGCACTCGTGTGTTCTTTTTCAAATCTACAGATGGTTTAGTGGAAAGAATACAGTAGAGCTATATTTCATTGTCTTCATAGTAGGCACCGATATAACCGGTCATAAAATACTGGCAACTCTACTTCAATCAATGACCACGTGGTTTATTTACACAAGATGTTCTCAAGCGACCATGGTGACATTTTGTCAGGTTCATTGGCATACAACAACGTTCCGTGGTAGGTCCAGTTGAAACATTTCACAAACTATTTGTATTTTCACAAGTGTCGTAAGTTACAAAACCAATAAAAGAATAATTATTTAATGTGAGGATGGGAAGTTATGCTCGTGTAGGACAAGTTTTGAATAATTTAAAAGTGAGTGTTTTATGAAATAATTATAATTAATGTATTTAACTTGAATACAATGGGTTCAAATGTCTACGTCATATACACTTTACAACACAATATATATAAGACACAATATAAACCAATGAAGACAAATGTCTATTTACATAAATGTGAATAATAAAATGTTATTTTATACGAAATCCAGCTTGCTCATTTCCCAGCAGGTAGTGAATTTTTTTTTTTACCCAACTACATATAAAATATAAACTTCATATTCCAAATGTTTTATTCCAGAAGCATACAACTTACGAATATGCCGAAGAAAACAAAGCAGACATCTCTGAAAAATAAGATGTCAGTATTTGTGAATAGCCGTGCTACATTCTAAGAAGAACATACAAAGTAAAAAAAAAAAAAAAAGCCAAAGGCAAAAGGTATGCCCCAACATAAACCTACATACTAAACAACATTGATTCAAACACAGGGTAGATTAGTAGTAGTGTATTGAAAGTATACGTCATATATACAGTACTATTGGTACACATGTATTGTAATTATTCATGTTATAAATATGGCACTTGTCGTATTACTAGGTACCGGTGTTACTAATATCTTATTGTTTTCTAATCGCAGAATCTTGGTTAATAACCTGTGGTCACTCGTACGAGGCACTGTCAATGCAATCACGGGCCTCGGGAAGGAATCTGTAAAAAGAAGAGAACGATCTCTGCCTCCACTGAATCAAAAAGTAACTTCGTTGAAGGGCAAGCAGAAAGAAATTACAGACGCGATATTGATACTTCCGCTGAGGTGAGTTTCTGTTGATCGATATAGCGCTCCGCGTACTGTCAATCCAGCTATCGAGTAATGTGCTATACTGGTCGTGCAGCTGTTTACGTAGTATTTCCCGGCGAAGAGTCTAGCAATTCAATACGTTGTACTGCCTTGGCAAAATGATTCAACATGCCCATGTAGAAGGAAACCATTTTGATTTAATGGGCAAGCATTCAATGGAAACAGACTGTGTTATAACAAATTAATAGTCTGAGTTAGTGGAAATACCAGGTAGGTGCTGCCAGCAAGTAATTTATTTGTATATCTGTTTGTACTGTTAGAACTACTGGTATGACCACAACCTATTAATATCAGAGACTGGCGAAGCAGTGAAAAACGGTATCCACGGACCACAATATGTATTTGATGTATGGCTGCAACTAATGACACATTGGTTTGACACTAAGGGCGTAAGAGTGTATTTGGTGTCTCCGTTCCTTGATGAAGAAATTCTGCAAAACATCTGTACTGTTATTAGTACATGTGGAAATGGAAAGAAGGGAGTCCTGGAAAGATTCATTATCAGAGAAAACTGTTACAACAACATCAAAATTAGCAACATCGTTAAGACTGGGTTGGATGCTGATGAGAAGAAGATATTCAAAAGATACATATCACGCGCCATCTATGTCACATACAACGAGCATTTTAATAAAACATACTTTCATTGTAAGTTTT